CATGAAATCCGGCGGGGTCCTTTTTTAGTCAGGTGAAACAAGTGCATAAGTGGATTCGTTTTAGAAATGATGGAATGAGTGATTTGCATCAGCTTGTAGACTAATATGTATAAATCATCGATGTGACTACAGATTTGACACCCACTTATGCACTTACGGATGAAACTCACTTTTCGAAGTTCATATTTTTCAGAAAATTCACTCTATAGAAAATGATGTTTTTCTGAATATCGAATCTTTCTGATGGATCCTAGGAACAGAGCTTATCCAGCGACATCTATCAGATATGTAGATGATTGCACATGTTGATGTTGATTATCGACAAGTGACATAAAGAGAAATTCTCGTACATAATTATTCGTGATGAAGAGCAGTTAAATCTTTTCTTTCTGTTGTCGATTTTGAATAATTTTTTTTAATTTTAAAGTAAACTCTTAACGAGCTATATTGGATTAGTTCACTTTAAAATCAATGCCGTAAAAAACAAGAAAATGCGTATTGTGCAACATGACAAAAACTATTTCAAAGAATTCATCCATGACAATAAAATCGATTGAAAGAGAAAACCAGCTTCGAAAAGGGTATCAAATCTAATTTAATCGTGATCTTTTGAGCAGACCTTTGATTAATGAGGTGGTTCACAAAAATTGTTGTGTTCGATTGATCTGAAAACTACCATCAATTAAAGCGAAAAAAAATATCCAAAAACATCAGAATAATTCAAGAATAGATACAAGTTCATCGCTTGAATCACACTCGATATCTAATGTAGATAATATGTATATCGATGAAAGTCAGAGCTAACAATAGTTCTAGAAAGTATATAATGCTACCAAATCGTCTAGCAAATGATGAAAATAAATCGCAAACATTCATTTCAAACTCTCGCGTCAAATAATAGCTTATTTCGAATATGTTAGTATTTTAGATTGTACGGGGTTGGAAACAATATTTTTCCAGAGGGGTAACTCTATAATTCGAAGTAGGAGATATAATGAATTTTATACCAAATGAAAGCCCGTGAAAAATGGGATTTAGGGATGCTAAATAATATGACTTTGAAGAACTTTCATATATCAAACTCTCAAAAGTTACAACTTTTCACTTATATAAGACACGAGAAAACTAGTTTGTCAGGTAATGTTCGAACTAAAGGTGTTACAAAATAGTTTATTTTTCATTCCTTAATGAACACAATCAATAATCTGTGTGACGACCGTTAGCATTCTTTACTGCACGAAGTCGAGATGGATACGAACATAGAAGAGTTTCAAATAATTCAGTATCTTCTTCCATGCTAGTTAAGACATTTTCAATATGCATTTTAAGTGTGTCTTCATGATATCGATTATATCCAGTTTCCGATAACATTTTTTTTTCCACTTCATTTTTGATTATTGATTCGATACGTTCTGCCACATTAAGATCAGGTGAATTTCCTGGCCAGATATCATTACCCCAAAATTTAACACAATTGTCTTGAAGCAAATGTTGAGTTTTATTTGCTCGCATACATGGTGTTTTATCATGAACGAATATAACTTCATCAGGATCAATAACATTATCTTCATTTTTTAAGAAGGGAAATACATTTTGAGTTAAAATTATATCACGAAAGTATTCACCAGTCCAAGATTCACCTTTATCTTTGATAACCCAAAGTAATCTTTTGCAAGTAAACATTATAAAAATTCCGATACATGATTGATTTTTTACCATTTCACGATATCTTTGATCTTCTTCGATGTCTTCAATACTTTTCGCCCAAATTCGATCATTCTGATAATTTGGCCTACGGACAGTCCATACATAAAATTCATCAGATGGTGCCAGACGAAGAAAATCTTCTACAGTCCAATCTTTTAACCAGTCGCACAGCCATAATCGATCTGATATATGAGTTTCAGATTTTAACGGTTATGGAATAACATGAAATGGTTTTAATCCTTCTCTATGACGGTAATTATTAACTGTTCTTCGAGTGACATATCCTTTTTGCTTTTCTGCAATCTCCTTCGTCACAACAGAACAGCTTTTTCTTTGTTGACCACTTGCTTTACGAATGATATCTTGACCAGCTTCTGATAATTTAAGTTTAGCACCAACATTTGAATAGTCAGCAAAGCATTGGTCATATGACTTTTCCCACCAATCTGTGACAAATCGAGTTGTGCGGTGAATTTTGTCCGCAATCCATTGCCTATTTATAAATGTTGCACCAGCATCACGAGCTTCACGAAAAGCAATGCATTTGATCCTGTCAATCATTCTTTGTTGTTCATTATCATAAGTACCAGCCATTTCAGATGATGAAACTACGTTGATTTAACAAGAGGATGAATTTTATTATGAAATGCATCGAAGAGAAAACAACCTGTTATATCACGCCACAAATCACTGAAATTTCTCTCCACTGTAACCTTCAGACAGAACGAGAACGAAAAAATATCTGTGAAATGACTAGTATCACGTGGAGTAAACAACAGAATGCAAAGGAATCACCTTATGGTCTAAGTCATAGCTGTATCTCATGATCATTAGCAGTTTTCTTTCGTTTTTTCCTAGAGAAATCTTCGATTTCGATGCCTTAAAGCTCAGTAAAAATGAGTTTTAACGAATTGTTTTTGAAGAAAATTCCATTGTTTTTGAGAGTTTGATATATGAAAGTTCTTCAAAGTCATATTATTTAGCATCGCTAAATCCCATTTTTCACGGGCTTTCATTTGGTATAAAATTCATCATATCTCCTACTTGGAGTTACAGAGTTACCCCCCCCCCCTCCCCCCTGGAAAAATATTTTTTCCAACCGTGTACAAAGTTCTTCAATAGTCTCTAACGAATGAGATATATTGTCTGGAATTGGCTTTATTCTAATTGGATTCCGGTATTTGAAATCTGTTGATTTTCCATGATCTAAATTTTAATGCATTCTATTGGAGAATAATATTATTTAAAAACTTCAACTGAATAATTATACTAAAACATAATAACTAGAGTGTGGATGTGCGTGTAGGTGTTGGTTAGGAAAACACCCACTCACACCCACATCCTTTTCAGATGTTTCGGGTTTTATTAGTATGTAACACTATTTTATTATATCAATAATTGTTATGTCTGTCGGTTATTTTTTTTGTACCGATATAATAACTACCGTTACCACCATATTGCAAATATGAATGATGATTTCGTGCATCATATAGAGGTTTGAAAAAATTTGTAAAATATTCCCAAACTCGATATTTTATACGTATTGGATGTAATATTCGATCAAGATCAGTAATAGATGTATTCCAGTTATAATGATCCCACCATCGTTCACCAAGTACAAGAGTACCATTCGGACGAAGTGCATTATAAATATTTTGTAAAATTTCATATGCATTTTGTACATGTTCTAATACGTTAATTATAATTATAGTATCATACGAGTTCATAAATCTTAATTGTTCTGCACCAGCTGAAACAATGATTGTTGTTATATTAGGAAAGCCTATTATTGTTCCATTTTTATAAACACAGTTTTTTACATATTGAACATAATGAACAGCTGATGGCTCCCATAATGTTATTGATTTAATATAAAATTGACGATTTTTTAAATTTAGTATTGGTCTTGTTTGTGTAAATGGACCAGATCCAAGTTCTAAAACATCACCTAAATTATTTGGTAACTTTTTATAATTATTAAAACCAGCTAAATGATCCGAACTACGATCATCTCTAGCGTCCCCACTCCACATTTTTTTCTCTGCACTAAGAGCATGTATCCATCTGTCATATGATATTTCTCCAATTCCATATTCTGGATGATAAAAGCAATCATCTGATGTAGCTGTACATGATTTAGGTGCTGATAAATTCCATTGCTGAGAACAATTATTTCCAGTGTAACCAGGATAACAAAAACATTTACCAATTAAACATGTACCATGCTTGTTACAATTGGTTGTCCTACATGTGGGATCTATGTTATCATATAATATTATTGGTGAGACAGGTATAGAACGAATTGTTCTCATGTATGATAGTGTACACAGAAGTGCAAGTAGAATAAATAATAGACAGATACATAACTGTCTTTTATCAGACAACATTATATTGGGTTGGCAACCTTGTTAAAATTAAATATCTGAAATCAGTTACAAAAAAATCGTTAGCAGTAACCTTTGAATATTATAGTTCAAGAAAAATATTGGCTGCATATATAAAAAAAAAACATCTCGTAAATTCGTTCGATAACTGTCAACTAGCTGACCTTGGCGAGGATGTCGGTGTGAATGCTCGTGTAGTTATTGGTGTGGATGACAAAATAAAAGTGACTGCGGTTGTGCAAGGTGAGCAGATACCGCTCAGGGTGTGTGGACATGGATTGTGACTGAGAATGAGATGGTTGTGTGTATGAGTTTCTGTTGAAGTATTGGTGAAGAGGTTGGTATTCTTTCCAGCCAACATCTTTTTGTATCTATAGTAGAGCCCTGCACCGGACTCCGAAATCCGACTCCGACGATGTCAAAGTTGGAATCACAAAAGTAAATTTTTTTCGAAGTCGAAGTCGGAGTCAACATACATTAAGAAACTCAGAGGATTCTATTTCATTCATGTCTTACGTAACACTCGTTTTTGATAATTGCAACGTCCAGTAAAAGAAAATTGTCAAGCCAATGACTAAGTGAGACAAAAGAGAAAAAACAAGAAAAATAAAAAGCATCTGCACAAGATTAATTTCAAAAGTGACTATTGTGAAAAAAACCATCAGCTTCATTCAATATTTCCACTAGTTTTATTAGATGTATTATTGTCATTTTCAGGCGACTGTGAATTACAGGATATCGCCGTAAACATAAGATTTCGCTAATTCACGAGAAAAAGTTCAGAATCCAAGTTAAAAAAAAGCATGACTAGGCAAATCTCTATCGTCGGTTCCAATAATTGATTATACAGATACATATCCAAGTTTTCTCCGAATAGGAACAAGCATAAAGAATCCAAATCGTGTTTTAATATAAAAATTGTTTCCAACAAGGACTGCTGGTAAACAAAATTTTCACAATATTGCAAAAATTCCAGAATCTCTATCAAACTTAATATTTCATGTATCAACGCACAATATCGGAGCAATGTTTCTTTTGATTACACACAGCGACGAAGCAGCTAGTTGTCTACAAAATGAGGTTCTTCCGAGCAATCTATAAGATCCTTTAAATAAAATGCATCAATATTAAGAAACACCAAAGAGGTTTTTCATCATTTCGAAATAGAAGATTGAACTAAAAGAACTTTTGGAGATTTTTAAAATTGATACAATTCAGTCAAAGATATGTCGTTTCGTCGAGAATCAGTTACTTTGTTGCACTGTATAATCGAAAAAAATCTTTTATTTTCGAGTTCAGGATGCTGAAAAGTCGGTCTCGAGCTTTCTAGAGGTCCTTTGTTCCAGGAATACTGTCAATAGCTTATTTTCCTCAAACCCTTATTGCAAATAGTCTCCTCTATTCAAATCACTTTTTGGATTCTTTATGCGAGTTAACATTAGAGAAAGGATTGAAATTAACGGGTAACCCATAACAAACTGTCCACTTTTGAACCAATCAAAATATATACTCGTTATCCATTTTTTCCACTCATTTTTGTATCATATGTTTGAACTATTGAAGAGCTATACAATCACAGAACATCAACTGTATAAGTGCCTTTTAGATTAATTTTAAGAATGAAATCTGAAGATCTTCGAAGAGTGGTACTGCAAATGACCGATGATGGAATGTCATCGTGTCAAATTGCTAAACAATTACGAAAGGTGGTTAGTGATCGTACAGTTAGATGGTGGCAACATTTATATAAAACAACAGGCATAAATGACTTCAAAATACCAACTGGTAGACCTCGAATTATACGAACAAAACATCTTATACGAAAGGTGAAACAAAGGTTTACTTATAAAGGTCGACGAAGTGCAAGACAATTATCAAAATCGCTTGGGGTTTCCAGGGGAACAATGGGTCGCATAATTCGAGAAGATCTTCCTTTACATACTTATCCTGTTACAACCCAACCAAATCTCCAGGACTACCACAAACAACGAAGAATATCATTTACATACTGGGTACGAAAATCGTTAAGAAAAAAAGATCATCGTAAAATTTTATTTACTGATGAAAAATATTTTGGATTGAACGGTATATTTAATCGTCAAAATGACCGTGTTTATGCTCCAAGTCGACAGGAAGCAGATGAACATGGGGGAATAAAACCAATATCAAAATTTCCAAAAAGAATTATGGTATTGTTAGGTACATGTAAAAACGGTCTTACAACTCCAATTATATTTGAACCTGGTGAAACATTAACACATTCAAATTATATTGAAGTTGTTCTTCCGCATGCATTAGCTGAAGGTCGACATCTATTAGGTGATGATTTCATTTATCAACAAGACAATGCAACGCCACACACGCATAAAAATTCATTAGCATGGATCAAGAACAAATTCACCAGATTCATCGATGAAAATAAATGGTCACCTAATAGTCCGGATCTCAACATTTTGAATTATTATGTATGGGACGCTATCGGCCACAATATGCACTGGGAGAAAGTCAAAAATTATAATTCTTTAATTGAAGAAATAAAACAAGGTATTAGTCGTGTACCAAAAACTGGTGTAGTTCGCAATGTGAAAAACTGGTCAAGTAGAATTTTGTCAATTTTAAAAACAAAAGGTGCTTATGTTAAATAACATTTTTAGTGCAAGTTGTGGAGCTAACTATGTTGTATCTATTGATGTATTTTAATCTTAAATAAAGCATATCACATAACTATAATATCAAATGCAAAAGTGGGCAATTTATTATGGGCCACCCGTTATCTACCTTTACTCATTGGTTGAATGAATCGCTTACCTTTCCTTACCATTTTTCTCTCAATATGCGTTGTGCTCACCTTGTCATTTCTTTTTATCATATGAATTGTCCTTACCTTGTCAGTCTTTTTTTTCTGTTCTTATCTTCATATCATTTCTGTCCTTACAGTATTACTTTCTCTTTTCTATCGTTTCCTTGACTCCTTCTCCTCTCTTTTAGATGCTTTCTTCAATGTCTTTGCAGGCACATATAAACGTAGAACTGTGGATTGTTGCAAGTGTGCGATTGTATGATTTAAAAGAATATAATAGAGTGTAATTCCATCGGCACTAACATTTCTTCTATCAGAAATCATTACACTAAATAATGCTGATGAAATAATAAGAATGTGGATGTGAGTGCTGTTTTGCTCTTTAGTAACACTATGTTTCATCACAATGATTTAATCAAGTTCGACAGGGTCGAATGACTTTGTGATGACATGTTGTTGCCTCGACCAGCAACTTATTTTTAATTATAATCCAAAATTTACTTTCGTTGACATTATACCACCAATTTTAACAGAACTCTAGAAACTAGACTTTGTAGTCCGAAACATTTAAACTTCAATGCACTCTAAAATCGAGTCATCTACACCCTTTAAAAAAATAGATTTGTTACTGAATCCTACGAGTTTCGCATTTGAGTACAGAATATTTAGAGAATTCCTAAAATGAAAATCATTTTGCATTTTCGCTGTCAAACCTTTTTTTGGTTCAGAAAAATTCGACGGGTGTAGTATCTTTCACACTAATCCACTTCTAGGTTCAGAAAAAAAGCAAAGAGTTTTGCACTTTTCACACGAAACTATCGTGCCTTCCTAGGATCAAAAACAGTTTCATATTTTCTTTACAAAATCTCGTATGGTTTGGTCGAATAAAGAAAAAGTTTTGTATGGTTTGTAGAGAACCTTCGATAATTCCGACTGATACAAAAGAATTTCGTATTTTTTTTACAAAACCTACCGTATGTGATTGGTACAATGAAATGTTGCATAGTTATCTTACGAAATCCTTCATAATTCCGTAGAATGGAAGATGGTATCGTATTTTTCTTCCCAAACTATTTTTGTACTTTGAAAAAAGAAATAGGATCCATATATTTTCTACAAAACCTTCTGCATGAGAGATTTGTGTCAAAGCTTTTTCCAAGCCTTTTTCTGTGTAGTCGACAATCGAAATTTCTTATGCAAAACCATTAATATCAGTTCCATGTGTACATGGTGTCATATGAACCAAATCACCTGAACGATATATGAAAATGGTTTCTGATTCATTAATATCATCTGATAGAATTATGATTAGAATGATGTTTTCGTGTATCCTTTACTATCACTAAACACTGTAATCGTTAAGAGTTAATGGGATTGGAAGTCATTAGGCTCGATTTACTATTATAAATGTATTAGGTATAGAGAGTTGCTGCTATTATCTCTCTGTCTCGTCCTACTTTGCTCGCTTATATAATACACCATTAGGCGCTGCTCTTCCATATTGATCTTATCAAGAGTGATAGTCAAGTTGAACGTATACGTACTGGGCTATAGTTATAAAGGTATACATCCAAGAGTATAGGCGTAAGGGTGCACAAATAATGATATAGACATAAAAATACAAGCGAATGGATATAGGTGGGTGCTGAGATAGATATAGACCAGATCTACATCAACATACACCCCACCCCATTCCCAAACTCACATCCATACCCACACCAACCACACATCCTAAGAAAACAGTATCAAGTTTATTGTGAATGATAACTTTAATTAGAAAATCAAAACATTCTAGATCATCTACTAGTTAGAATTACATAAAAAGAGTGTCTATGGTAATGATTTTCCCGCTCGTATTGCTTTTCCAACTTCGGATTGAGTTTCGTTTCGCAAGTATCGCTGATAAATGTCCACGTAATGCTGAGGATCTGATGACGTTTTAATTACACTTGGTCGTTCTTTGATGAGTCTTTTGTACTCTACCCAATGCCCGCCAACAAGTTCATCTGTGAATCCTCGGTATTCTTCAAGGATGTAAATACGATAAATCCATGGAGCTACAGTGATATCTGCCAACGAAAGTTCCTCACCCGAAAACCAAGGTCCTTTGACTTGATCGATGTATTTTCTGAGAGCGTCAACGAACTCACCTAGAGCTTCTTTTTGTTTGTCCTTTTCTTGAGCTTGCATCGTTCGGTAAAACGCAGGTGTGAACTTCTTCGTCAGATGGTCGATCCACAGTCGGATACGTGCGCGTTCGAAACTATCTTTCGGCAAAAGTGGCTTCGAATCAAGAAACTCGTCCTCCAGAAACTCATTAAGGACTAATGACTCATATAAGGGCTTCCCATGATATACAATAGCGGGAACCAAGCCGAGAGGATTAATCTCTAGAAACTCCTTATCTTTTTTGTACGGATTCACTTCTCGATATTCGTATGAGAGGCCTTTTTCTTCTAAAGCCAACCATGTTCGCTGCACAAACGGACAAAACCATCCAGCGTAAAATACAAGTTCGTGCTTGCCGGAATGAGCTTTGACTGTTTTTTCTGCTTCTCCAGATGCATGAGGATAAATATTTTCGTCCACCATTGAAGACATCTTTGATCAAGTAATTATGATGTTGAATGGATTCGAATGATAATACGTGATTATCTGAAGAAAAAAAGATCAACTACGAAGAAGTTTCTACTGATTTGTATATAACTCATTTATTGGATGATGGAAAACGTTTTTGATTGAAGTACAGTAAGGTTTCAATGCAATTTTGATGATAAATCTGATGTAAAGTTCGCAAAAGCCCGAAACGATTCTGTTTCTTCGTGTGAGTACTTTTTAGAAACAACACCGGTTCATAGTAAGCGCCATTGTGTGTAGAAATAGACAATACTGGGTACGCGGTCACTGTGGATTTTCAAATTAGATACTATACTTTGATAGATTATGAAAATGTAGAATCTTTCCCATGTGTAGTACTTTATCTTAAATTCTTGAAGATTTTGCGTAGATCATTGACGAGGTATATTCTTTTCGGAAAACTTACTTGGTTTGGGCAATGAAAAAAATTCTTTCGTCTGGTCTAAAATGTTGGGTAGTGTCTACTCTGAGAAAATAATTTGCAAGAAACAGGATTTTTCATTTAACTATTTATAGTGACTTTTAATTAAAGTCCGATTTGCTTGCTTTAAAGACAGGTTAGTTCTAAAGTATGTTTCATACTTGACATTGTCGTAAAAAAATATGTTGAACAAATTGTATATCAGTATATCTTTAAAAATTTCAAATTTTCCAGCACTATCAAATATCCTGAAACGCGAAGATGCATCACACTTCCCGCGAGAGACTAGCCCGTCTCTTGTGGGAGATGCCACATGTCGTCTAGAGGATGCGCATCTTTCCTGAGAGTGGCGGTATTTCCTAAGTGAGATGAGGAAATGTCTCCAAATTTCTGAATATGTGACACTGCTCAACAGAATAGCTACATCTCTATTACACAGCATAGAAACTGTAAAAAAAACTTTCGCAGTGATGTTTTAGATCACGTGAGATTTTCGGTGTTTCGTAAAAACTTTTCATGTTTGAGAGATGCACTCGAATCATAGTATAATTTATTATTCGACCTCTCACTATTCATTTAAAATTTGTTGTCTTTAATATGATATCGCACTAGTGGAAGTTCGATTTCAAGTATGCAATCATAGACTTAATCTAATAATCTTCTAATATCTTTGTGAAGAAATGCAAAATTGTTCGTGTATTATTCCCAACGTTTTCGTTGATGGTTAGAAATCTTCATTCTCTAGGTGGCATTCGTCAACTTTCTTTTCTTTTTTCACATAAACTATTAGCAGGCGTGCGCTATGCATCTTTCTCAAATTGAGAAAATGGCTGTGCCCAAGAACATTTCCTTTTAGTATTACTTGAATTGAATGCGTTTTCTCTTCGTAATTAATCTTTTATTTTATTTTGACCTAATGTTTCGAACGATAATATCATCTTTCTTCAGAAGAGATAGTACAAGTATAAACACAGAACATTTTTCTTTACATACACAAACATATTGAAGTTAAGTTAGTTCTTTCTTTTCTTGTATTTACTAGTGGTATAGACAAGAGGTAATAATCAGGATCCGATAAAAGTGAATTTTTGTCGTTCATACCACTATTAAATATAAAAAAGAAAGAACTGATAAACTACACTATGTGTATACGTATATAACGAAAAGTTTTGTGCCTTTATATTTGTACAATTTCTTCCAACGAAAGACGATATTATCATTCGAAACGTTAAGTTAAAGGAAAGTAAAAGATTAATCAGACAGAGAAAACTCATTCAAAAGTGTCAAAAACCTTCCTAAACCGAAAATAACCGATTGAATTTTCTTGTGAGACTGCTGCTGTTGTAAGAAAAAGGATTTCGAGCCAAAATGACTTACGTTTTATGGAAAATGATGGGATTGCTCTTTCGTCAAATAAGCGTGTATCTTCATCATTTTGCTCTTCAGAATTTCAACACACGGATTGTGTATAAGGGCTGAATAAACAGAAAAGAAAATGTCTTCGCTCTCCTTATTGTACTCTGCTACTCTCTATCAAAACACGGTAGCAACAGTAACAGAGACATTAACTGACGACGCTCGTTCTCTTCTTTCTTTTATATACAGTCTGTCGTAGTTTTTCTTACCCTCGTGGTATGTGCACGCGATAACGTATCTTTGTTCTTTTGTCAATAGTTGTTTCGCCTCCTTTTCTTGCTTTATTGATACTCTTTTTATTTACGTGATTCGTTGGTTACTTCTCATTGGCAAATATAAAGAAAATAAATTTTAAGTAAATTAAAATTTTT